TGGTTTCCAAAATATTTTACTCCTTGATTCACCAAAAGGATTCTCAACGAGTGCTTCCCTCCTGAACCCTTCTACTTTTGGCAGGAATGCTGGATGCTTTCAGCCTCACTCCATTGGTGACTAGTGAGTGTGACATTATGAATATCTGTGCTCTTCGAGCATAAAGTACATACTAGAAAACTTTTCCTCTATACATTTTAGATTCATGACATGTTAGGATTACAATTGTGATAGTGTGCTTTGCTTAAAGCGGTTTTGCAAAGAATTTTAATCATACATGAGATTGGTGTTATAATCCGGTATCTATCAATGAAACAAGTAGGTTCAATTCCAGAAGAGGTTAGATGAAAAATAAGTTGTTAAGTTTTTGGAGATAAGTTGCAAGTCAGACGCGAGCCAACTTTTCCTTGCACTGGACACTGTTTTAAGTTCTTGAGAAGACCAAGACAAAATCAATCTCGGGGTCAGATTATTTAAAGGAAAGCTTGAAGTCTTACATAGGTCAAGCATCCAGAGAAACAGGCGGGTCTTTGACCTTCACGTACTTTTAAGTTCTGTTCATGTTGGTCGGCTTCTGTCTCAGCCTGGGCTCGTGTTGTTGAATCGGGTCATTGATTGGCCACTGCGATTGTCTGAGTCTGCATATTGATTTTTGACTGGTTTGATATCGACCTCCTGAGCTGAACTACCACTAGATTGTACCGCTTTATCTGATCGTTCACTTATTTGCTTGTTGTCATTGGCATCATTGAAGAGGATAGGATTGTTAAGACTGAAATGTAACATAATCTAAACTTATATAAGTTTAATCATGATTGCTTAATTGTCATCACCACAAAGCTCAATCACTACTGATTCTGTGAAACCATCCAATGCAGATCAGTTTATAAGAATCGCCAGATTGAGAACTGGAGGGTTTGTGGCGTAGGTGAATGTAGGTGAATGTGACGGTTGTGGTGAGTTGAAACGGCTGTACATGGCTGTCACGAGGGTATCCAGCGAACGTATTGTGAACGTATTGCGAACCCAATTCGCGATTGGAGAAAGTTGCGGACTCTGTCACCGCAACTTTCCTCAATCAAGTTTCACACTCATTGATTCCCGCGGTGTGAGAGGTATGGGGAGCAAACTTGGGGGGGCGCGTGAAATTCAGGTTAAATCTGGTGAACGTGTAAACCCAGAAATTGCTAGTAGGGATTGGGAGTTAAATCTGGTTTTGCCGGCGAACACGGTTTGCCTTTAACATTAATGATCAATTCCATTGATATAACTATTTCAACTCTTCGCATCCAATTACAAGCCTTGACTCCACACCGGCAAAAACAAGCCCTCCTCAAGATCGAATCAATTATTCAACAGCAACAGTCGACATCGTCCAATCCAACAGAGTCAAAAAACATCGACTCAACTTTGAACTCACCAAAATTCATTACACCAACAATAGTAAGCACTTCATCCTCATTTCTTTCTTTACCACACAACCAAATCTATTTCCAATGTTAACACATCTTTTGAACCTAGGACGAATTCTTGACATTCACCAGCACCAGCCAGGAATCCTCAGGGCCAGACCGAACGCCAAATCACGCTCCCACACCACCATTGAAACAATATTCGCCCTATTCACCTGCTCAATTGCCAAAACGCAATCTAGAAACCTTGGCGAACAAACATTCTGTGAGTTGTTGATAATAAAACAACACAAACACACATCCATTACTTACTATCTTGTCACTAACCAACCTTTCAGGTCGATAATGTCTTTGAAGACTTTTTTGGCATATCCGAGAACACAAATTCGACGTTCAACCTGGAAGAGCTCATATTTCAACCAAACATCAAAATTCAAGAGGATAATCCAAGCCCACCTTTAACGCAAGACATAGACAGCTTACTCGGTTCCACGACCAGTGAGTCAATCACACACTTTTTTGGTTTTGTAGTAGAGGCTGATATCGGTGACCACACAGCCACCCTTGAACCCAAGCCACCCACTCTCCAGCTTAGCCAGACGACCGAGGCCGCTAAGCCACCTCCAAAGACCACAGCTCCGCCTGCAGTAGAACGAATAATAACACGCAAACGAGCCCGTGAACAAGCTCAAACCGATTCCAATGTTTGCAACACCGACGAGGTGGCTAAACCTCCTCTTGCAACCAAAACCTCACTTTCCAAACCGATCAGAAGGATCACTCGTCAAGTAACTCATGAAGAAGCTGTAGCTCAATCCCTCCCAGGTGCAGCCGCTCAGACGCTAAAAGACTCGACACATCCAGGACAAGCACTTCGGCAGAAGAATCACGCAAGAATCGCTCGGGACCCCAGAACCACCTTATCTGTTCTCTTGAAAAAATACCAGATCCATGACTGGTTAAAACCCTTCATCCTTAACCTCAATGAAGTCGATTCCGATGGTCACTGTGGCTTCCGAGCCATCGCCGTTTCCATAGGTCGTCCACAGGATGATTGGCTCTACATACGCCAAAGCCTGGTCAAGACTCTCAAGCGATTGCCTCACATATTCCCCGACTCACGATTACCCGAAGAGCGTGCTAAGCTTTTAGACCGTCTTCAGACTGAAGAACCGAATGTACTATCTTCCAACAAACACTGGCTGAGCATGCCTGGTATTGGTGGTGTCATAGCTACTACCTTTGATCGGCCCGTCTTATACTACGAGCCTGGCCACTCCAGTCAAGTCGTATTCCCCTACCTGACCCCAATCAACGATAATACGCCTATATTTTTAGTATGGGCCAAATGCCACTTCGCTTCCCTCACCCTGGATTATAAGAACCCGAAACTTCCTGTCCCCCGAGTATGTCAGACATGGAATCGGTTTCGATCTCTCATGGCCTCAACGTGGCTGCCAGCCTATCAGCCTATGATTGAACAGCATGCGGCCGTTCTGGCGGCCACTCAGAATATAAGCAAAGGCAAAAAGAAGAGAGTTTTGGCGCCAATCTCAATCGACGGATCCGATGCTTGATCATACTAAATCTTATTCTTTCAATTTTCCATTTAATTATGTCAAACATTGAATTGTTGTATTTCCCCGCAAAAAAAAAATCTTGGTAACCCAGGAGATAAGATTGATGACAGTGATGATAAAACCAATTTCTTTTGCTTTCTCATGATATGAAGTATGTAGATAGACTGATGACCGAAAATTTCAGTTGGTACTCTCATGATGATAAATTTGGTGACTCAAGGTTCAATGGAGAAGTCCTTAGAAAAGCCGGTGCTGAGCAATAACCACCATTTGATTTAACACCTTTAGGACAATTGTAAACAAATATTTGGTTGTAATCATTTTCATCAAACATTTTTAATGTGAAGCAGTAATTAAACAATGGAAAAAATTACAATGTGAACCATGATATTGATAATTCTAAAGTGCCATCTCCCAGTCCATATTGATGCCTTCCTGCTCATCAAAACCTTGAAAGTACAAGTTGTCTTCCTCCACTGCTCCTTCCTCATCCCCCTCTTGTGGTTCCCAGATTATTGGAAGTAACCCTATGTCAATTGGCGCACCTGTTGTGCGCGCAAACATTTGCTGCCAACCAAGTACCAAGGCAGGGTCAGCTTCGACCCTTCCTTCTACATAGTCCTTTGTGGCTTCCACCACCTCTAACAAGTCACGATCCCAATGAGTCCATAGGCGACAGGTCCGTTTGGCCAGTCCAGAGTGGATTGAGTTCCACTCTGCGAAGCGCACCGCTCCTGTGAAATGACTTCAGTATTAAATACTAAGATCGGAAGGTTCATCTACATGGTGTGGCTTAGGCTTTGCTTACCTTGGTTTGGCCTACACCGATCCACTCGGCCTTGATAATCAAGCGCCCAACCCATGAGCTGCCTGACCTCGCGGCCCAGACGTCGCAGCTCCTCTTCGGATGCTGTTTGATTTCGAAGGGCTACTATGCCTTCCTTAGTCTTTGGGCAAGATGCCCAGGGCTCGTCCAGATGGTTGAGCGCTACTTCATCCCAGAAAGGATCAAGCAAATCCATCGCCATTACTTCGTCCAATGTAGGTTCAAGAAGTCTCTGAGGCGGCCGGTAACGCCGGTTGTACTTAGAAGCATACCTCAAATAGGTATCCAACTTTTTCTTTAAAAGATCACGTTTCTTCTTGCGTAGTTGTTCATTCCGTGGCTGCTGGGTTGCACCTGTAGTGATAGAATGTACAACATATCAGAATAAGAGTGGATGAAATCCCTGAAATTAATTATGTGATTATCATATTCAACAAGTAAGATAGTTAATTGGTGATTCAAGTACCAGTTCTGATTGCGGCATTTGCCTTCTGTTGAATTACATCCATTGCTGCCTCATACAAGAATCCTAATGCCACCTGGATGCCAAGAATGGCCTTAACTCGGTCGGCTAATATGTTTGAAGTCAGTTATCTTGGCCGCATAAGTAGTGAACGAGCCATGCCATCAATGTCATGATCACTTACTTGTTCCTCGCCGCACATTCAACAGTTCAGCATTTCCAAGCTCATCGGCCACATTTTGAATCTGAACTTCAAGTGCGACCAAGGAAGCTGGTAGGTCCAGAAGTTCATGGCGTTGTTCGGCAGTCCGTATTTCAGCATTAGCTGCATTCATTTGAACCAGCTTCTGTCTGAGAAACACACTGTTAGCAATTTGTACATTGGTTTTAGGTAATAAATCTTACCTTGCTTCCAAAAGCTCCTCCTCGAGAGTGAGTAAAACGCCCAGCCTGTCCCGTTTTTCCTTGGTCTTCACGCTGATCGCTTGTAATTGCAATGCCCGCTGACGATCCCACTGCATTTCGAAGTATGCCGCTGTATGTTCAGGGTTTTGCTGAGAAAGCTTTGCAAGAGCTGCCTGACTTTGAAATAGCTCGTCTCGATATTTTTTAGTTTGGGCAAGCATAAAGGAAACTATAGTGTGAATCGATTTGAAATTGATAAGTTGTATGATGTACTATGTTATCCTTTGTAAACAAACTAACCAGCCTTTTTCTTCAATTCTTCATTGCGATGTTTGGTCCACAGGTCCAAACTCACCATCCGGCGATACTTAGTAGCATAGCGGAGCAATCGGATGAGCGGTGATATCTTGAACCAAACTCGCTCAAGACCTTCTCCATTGCTTTTGCCCCACCCTCGGATGAGACGTGGGTTATACTCAAGCTGACATCCCCAATTATGAGCGTAGGCATGGAATAGAGCCGTACCTATCTTGACTTGCCTAGCATATTCTGGATTGGTGAATACCGTTTTCTACCAAATGTCAGCAGTAGTTAGCAATTTTTTATGATGTAATTGTGTGGTAGGTAAGTGCGTGGTTGGTAGGGCCCGGTCAATACCTTCTTGATAGTTTTGTCGAGGTTGCATCCAATATCGTAGAGAATACCTAGTGTGGTGGTTCCATCCCGGTCGTTTTTGGGCAAGGTGAGCAACCACTCGATCAGTGCCAGTGCATTATGGTTCCTCAAAAGTCAATAAACGTCAGTATAAGTAGAAAACTATTTTAATTCCAATGACAACCTACTTTTCCCCGCTCTGAATCAGATTGATGAATTTCAGGACATGGTCATGTCTACATGCCATGCCCAACAAACCAGACTCGTCCATGTTCTTAAAATGACCTCGTCCTCTCGCATCGTTAGCTGTGGTGTGAGCTTCGGTGCATGGGTCCTATAAATATATTCATATCGCAACATTCAGTCAGTGTTCATATCTCGGGCCTGTGTCAAAAGTAAGAGGCCATATCTTACACCTTCCACATCCGCCTTGGGGTCTTGCTGCATAAATCGTTCCTTGGCGTCCACTAATTTAGGGTCAAGGAAAATTGAAGGTCGAGGAGGGTGTGAGCCTGGAATTGGAACACTGGCCCGCGCGTGTCTCTTATGTTGAAAGTTGCCATTGAGGCAAACCACAACATGAGGCTCCTCTGGCCTAACATTGCCAACTGGAGGTCCAAAGCATTTTGGACAGTTTGCAGCAAGCTTGTCGAGTTCGGAAAGGGCAATTTTTTGCTCTTCCAACTCCCGAATTTGGACCACTAGCGCCCGATAAGCATCAATGGCCACAGTGAATGGCTGTCGCCAATCACGCGGCTAGGAGGAAAGAAATAATGTGAGCCAGATGAATTCATAATGATGTATATATTTGAAGTGTGCTTACAAGGCCACTGGCTGTAAGGATCTCCGCACTGCCGTGGTTCAGAACTTTGTCCAGTGCTCCACAGTAACCTTCGGTGGGCACAGCAAATCGAATCCACTGTGAATGATGGTGTACCATCAGTCTCACCGAAAAAGCTGTGCGCGGCTGCGATGGGGAAGCTGCAAGGTAACCCATCTGCAGCAGCCGTTGGGGATCGGAAAGATCACACTTCTTGCAAAATGACACTTTCATCCGCCTTCTTGCTAAGCTCATTTCAGAACAAAGTTAGGTTATCATAGTTTGTATTTTGCAAGATTCTATGATTTTGACTCACATAGGATATCGACAAGATCAACGTTGCGTTCAGTCCGCCCGGCGCAGTTACAGGGAGGTCGAAAGTCTTCGTTCCAATTAGCTTCCTTTCCCCAGTTTGAGGTAAGCAACCGGTTGCGAAGAAACGTAGGTAACATGATAGTGTACTGCCAAAACCAGTCTTTCTCGTTGGCCAGGCGGTCTGCTAGATGTACCTCCCTTCGCAATGCTGCTAATATCGGGTCTTCGGGATTGAGAAGTTCCTGTGGAGCTACTTCACCGTTCATATATCGATTCATGTCAAGATTCTGATTGTCTTCACCTTCTTCGTCACCAGGTTGATCTACATCATCATGTGCAGGCATAGGATGATCCTCTACTATCTCATCACCTAGAGGCTGTGGTTCCTCGTTATGCCGCTGGTTAAGCCGCCTATCCATGGCAGCCATCGAAGCCTCAGCATTCTCTAAGTCACGCTGCCGGGTCCTCACGAGTTGTCTTTGTATTGGTGTAGTTGGCTTCGGTTCCTTCTTGCGATGATTGAAGCCGTTGATGATCCGAAGGGAGGGCATGATGCAGAAATTGAAGGTGTTGGTGAGTTTGGTCTCATTCAATCACATGAAAGATTCGACCTCACCTACCAGGGATGGTTTGAATAGGAATGAAATTGTTGTTCAATCTTCCCAATCAGGAAGATTGAAAGCTGTCAGAATATCCATCTTAAGGTCAGTTGTCGTCACTAACCAGCCATCTTTTCCCTTTTGGGAAATAATTTACAATTGCGGACCTTTTGGGAATTGGATATTCCATTTAATTGAGTCCGTGAATGAATAGACTGCTGACCACCAATTGCTCCACCATGCCAATCTTCCTCAATATTGGCATTGCAAAGTCGTTTCATCGGCCGATTGATAGGCCCTTGGTGAGAGAGAAAAAGGCCATGGTGAAGGTCTGTAGTGAGAGCGAGTGGTTATGGTTCCCTGGTTTCGTAAGAGCTCGTTCGAAAAGATGTTCATTGGAATTGGATTGTCTTGCTAGGGAAGAACTACCATCCATGTTACATAATACAACCCAGAATACAACCTGCTGTGAATCTACTAGGGTTCAGAAGTACCGAGAGTCTAATTCGGGTAAAGGCTTATAATGCGAGAATAGCGGATTCGAGGATTATAAGGAAGTGATTAGGCAAAAGGCACTGTGCGGTGAATCAGTAGAGAGCAAGCTGGGGATTGAATTGCAGCGAAGAAAGGTCCGCCTTTTATAGGCGAGACTTTCGCAGTGAAATCTCATTCTAAGCTACAAGATACGAGCGCACAAGATAAAAGCCGGAAGCGGCAAACAAATAAGGAAACAAGATTGGAAAAGGATATCGAGAAGATATCGATATAATATATAAGGAAAGAGATAAATAAAACAGGCGCGTCGCGTGGACCATATGATGGTTCACCACTACAAGAAACCCGGATCCGGCGAGGCTTTATTAAACGGATCCGGAGGTTTCACATCATCCCTTCTCCAGTTCGAAGCACTGTATTCGAGAAGAGAAATATTTGGAAAGAGAAGTATAAAGGAAAAACAATAATAAAAATAAATAGAAACATATCCATTATACTACTACAAGTTAGTTATAAGAGAACAATTGAGAGAAAATAAATATAAAATATAAATAGAAAAGGAAAGAAAACAATTCTTAATTGTTATAGCTTAACATTCCTCTGCGTTGCAGAGCCCATTTGTCGCGTCTTTTAACATCAGCAGACGCGTAGAAAAAGTTATTGGGATCACCTTTATAATGTTTTAAGCGGTCTTGGTTGGTTGGTAACCTTAGAGAGTGTCCTCCAGAAGTCATGAGTGCACAACTTCCATTTGGATGGATGTCTTGGATGACGAAGGGTCCGTCCCATCGAGGGTGAAGTTTGGTTGGGCGGTCTTCAAATCTTCTCAGGACGAGATCACCTTCTTTGAAGTTTTGTTCAACATAAGTCTCTTCAGACTGAGCGGCACGTCTTTGAGCTTTCTCATTGGCGGTGTTGATAGCTTCCTGTCGCGCTATGTTGAGTTCTTTTGAATCTAAGTTACGTTTGCGGTAAATTAATTCAGCTTCTTGAGTTGAGATAGGAGGTACTGGGCCAAAGAAGCGAGGATTGTGAGGTAGACGTGGTTCTATACCGTGAACTAGGAAATATGGTGATTTTCCTAATGTGGCGTTCTTGGATACACGGTAGCCAAATAGAGCTTGTTCGAGAACTTCATCCCAGAGGTTTTGAGAGTCAGGTGAGACAAGTTTTCGAACTGATGAGATTAAGGTCTGATGGAATCTTTCGACAAGTCCATTGGATTGAGGGTGATAAGGGCTGGTTCGGTTGTGTTGGATGAGATTGGCCTTTAAGAAGTTAATGAATTCATAGGAGTCAAATTCAGGGCCATTGTCAGTGGTTATTTCTTCAGGAAGTCCAAATTGTAAGATGAGACTCTTTACCATTTGGATGGCAGCTTTAGCAGACTGCTTGTTGAGCGGGATCGCACAAGCCCACGCTGTACCGTAGTCAATGGCGGTGACTAGGTATTGGTAACCGTTTGCGGTTCGAGGAAGAGGACCTACAAAGTCCATTCCCCACTTCTTGAAGGGTCCACCACGCTCAATGACTCGGAGGCTGGTGGTTTGTTTTGAGGTTGGAGGTGCAGAGAGTTGACAGGGGTTGCAGACTTCGATGACACCTTCAACAACTTTGGTCATATCAGGGCACCAAAGTCTTTTCTGGACCGCATCTAAAGTATCTTTGACGCTTCGATGTCCTAGATCGGTGTGAATGCCGTTGATGATTTCTTCGGCTTCGCGGCGGTTGCTGGGAACTGGGAGTTTACCTTCGTTGTCCAAGTTCTGTATCATCAAGGTATTATCTTGAATAGAGAATCTTCCAGATCCTACGAGAGAGGGATCGACGCCTTTAAGGAGTTGTTCGCGGTATTGGGAGATGGTGTCGAAACTGTCTAAAGTTTCTTGTTCAGTGACGAATAAAGGGGCAGCAGTTTCGGGTGGATCAACGTCTGCTTCAGTGTTTGGGCGTCGAGAGAGAGCATCGGCGGCGAGTTGTTGAGAACCGGGGCGATAGATTATGAGAACGTTGAAGAATTCAATTTCATCAACAAATCTTGCGAGTCGCCGATTTACGTGGCGTTGGGTTTTGAAATGCTTGAGGGACTCGTGATCAGTCCGTACGAGGATAGGGGATCCTTCGATGAATCCTCGGAATTTCTTCAAGGCATGTACGATAGCTAGGAGTTCACGCTCCTGCGCTGAGTAGTTCTGCTCTGTCTTCGAGAGCTTTCGAGATTCGTAGGCAATGGGCCTAAGAGTCGAGTTCTTGACTTTCTTGTTGTATTCGACGAGTGAGAAGGAGGAGTTAATAAGTTCTGAATTTGGATCTTGCTGCAAGACGGCGCCAATGTTGAAACCAGAGGCGTCAGTATCAATAACGAAAGGTCTGAATGGAATTGGATGGGATAGGAGGGCGGTGTTGGCAAGATGATGCTTGAGGGATTTGAAGGCAGCATCATGCTCCTTCCCCCACGAAATTGCAGCCCGCTTTTTCGGGGAGCCTTCTGTCAAGGCGTAAAGCGGCGTTGCAATCTTCGAGAAGTCCTTGATAAAACGCTTATAATATGTTGATAAGTTAAGAAATCCACGAACTTCAGTAATGTTCGTTGGAGTGGGCCATTCTTGTATCTTCTTGATCTTCTCATTGTCAACCTGAATACCTTGACCGTTGACTTTGTGTCCTAAAAAAATTAAATCAGTGTGTGCCCATTTGCACTTCTTTGGCGATAAGACAAGATTCGCACCATCTAAAAGTTGTAAAACTCTTGTTACGTCTCTGATGTGTTGTTCGAAAGATGATGAATAGATCACTACATCGTCTAGATAAACTAAAGCACATTTATCCAAAACAGGTCTCAGTATATCATTCATCATAGATTGAAAGGTTGCTGGCGCATTGCACAGCCCGAATGGCATGACCAAGAATTCGTATGATCCTTTTTTGGTCCCAAAGGCTGTCTTTTCAATTGAAGATGGCTCCATTGAAACCTGCCAAAACCCACTTTTTAAATCTATGCACGTGAACCAAATTGCGCCCTTGAGGAATTGATACGCTTCATCAATTCTAGGGAGTGGATACGAGTTCTTTCTTGTCAATGCGTTGAGAGATCTGAAATCTACACAAACACGAGTCTCTCCGTTAGCTTTCTTTACAAGAATTATCGGAGCAGACCAGGGAGAGTTAGAAGGACGAATAATACCTTCTTCGAGTCCTTCTTTCACAAACTTATCAATTAAAAGATGTTCCGGTGGCGTATAAGGTCTGCCATGAACTTTTACTGGCTTGGCGTCGCCAGTGTCGATTATGTGTGACCAATTACGTTTGGTGTCGGTCGATATTGATTCTTTGAAGCAGTTTGGAACAAACTTTCGTGCTATTGCTTCCATTCTGATTGATTCTGAGGATCTTCCTTCTGCGTCAAGCATGAATAATGTCTGTTGTCTCCCTTCAGGATGATTTTGAGGTAAGATCTTGATGTCTTTATGATGATACTTAAAATTCCATCCGAGTGTTTTATAGTCGGGAACAACTTCGTTCTTTCTTAACCACGGTAGACCAAGAACAAGGTCAAACCCGGGTAAGTCGGTGATGAGAGCTTCACAGTGTTGGAGGTAGTCTTGACCCCATCGGAGGCTAAACTTAGCCTTGTGTCTGATGATTGTAGTTTGACCATTAGCTACTTTGACTTGTCGAGCTGGGCAGATTTCGACCTTCATCCTTCCTTGAAGACATGCGGTCCTGGCGAATTTCTTGCTAATATAAATTGTACCGGCGCCAGTGTCGATAATTGTGGTGGCTCGGAGACCACCGGCTAAGAATTCGAATCGGGGTAATTGAGTTTCTCCTTCAGAGAGGTTCAATTCGAGATAATTGAATGACAGAGTTGAATTCGACGGAAGATAGGGATAGGGGGTACCACGACGAGGAAATTTCTTTCGTGGGCTTATTTCTTCTTGTGGAAATAAAATATCAGGTTCATATTTTCTTTTACCATTGCTGACTGATTTTCTCCATTCTTCAATACTAATTTCTTTGATGTCTTCTGTTGCATCAACTAAAGTGATCTGACTTGAACTAGGAGCTTCTTCTATAAAGTCCTCAACTTCTTTTATGAACAAAGGTTGAGGTTCTTCTTCATCTTTAGTAAGATCTATGACAATACGTTCTGGAGTAGTTTCCTTATCACCATATCCGGCGAAGATCTCCAATAATTCGTCTACATTGAGCTGGTAATTTTCTTGGATGTAAACTTGTTCTTTTCCGTCCCATAGAGAAGGCGGGAGAACTGAAGAGCTGCGAGAAGAGGTGTCTTTTTCGGTTGTCTTAGTGGTGATGTGACTATCTAAGCTTTCATTTTGGTTTGAGTAAGCGGCTATGTCGGTCTCGTAATGGGAAGAGACAGGATTCGAATAGACATCTTCGATCTCGTGAAGGAAGTGTTCAAGATCTTCGTCTCCATCAGACATAGTTTCACACCATAATTTCTTGACAGCCATCATCTCGTCTTGAGCAAGAAGACCTCTAGTATGGTTTACGTCGCGTCGGGTGTAATGGTCTCGTAGACCCGGCGTGAATTCAATTGCTTCTGGGTGTAGGTGAGTGACGTCTTCATCTACTTCTAAATTGTCCTTGAGTCTTTCCATAGGAGTTCTATTGTCGGGGGTATTGAATACTAGGTCTAGGAGTTTATCGGGTATGTTGTTCTCGTCGATAAAGTGAGGGTTAAATCCAACTTCGGAGGATTCCTCTAAATAATTCAGGTCTAGTTCCATTTGAGTAGTTTCTTCTTGGTAATGTAGATCAACTTCTACAGTCCCTTCTCCGGAATCTTCAATTCTATCGGAGTCTTCCATTAGGTTAAATGAGAATTTATTCTGAGTGCGATGATTAGAATTCGGTTGATTAGTTTTCTTCCTTGGAGCGCGACATTCTTTCGAGAAATGTCCGGTCTTATTGCAATTATAACATCTTGATTTACTCACCTCGGCGACGTCTAAATCCATGGGAGTCGCTGAGGAATTTCGAAAGTTATTGTGAGATTGATTTGGTTGGCGGTTACGGAAATTCGAGTTGGTTCGCCAACGGGAATCCGAAGGGAACGACGAAGAGTGGGATTTGTTAGAGAACACTGAACGTGA